ACCATTATCACTCCCAGCAGTCAAAGTTGTTTGCATAAGGTGTTATTTGCCAAGAACCTGTTACTTGAAAGGAAGACCTCTTCTGTCTGCACAGCAGATTTGTAGGTGGAGAAAAGGAGCCTTGCTGAGAGAAAAGTGGAGGGAACCAACATAATCACATACACATCATCCATAAATATCTAAGTAAGAACGGAGCAGAAAATGCACAAGGCATCCTTCTCTAATGGGACCCAACTACACTCATAACATAATTTTTTCAAAGGTGACAAGAAGAAATGACAGCATATAATTTCAACTGATTTGTTGTAGAAGGATTGCTCATAAAGCTCCCGCAAGGGCTGGAAGCCTAACTGTAGACAGACCTACCCAGAACTCATGCTATCACACATAAGACACATCTAAGTGTTTCTAGCCCTGTTTAACAGCTGAAGGAGTAAGATACAAATCAATACAACACTTAAAGGCTACCCTCACGAAGTTCAGAGGAATAGGGCTCTGCAAGGACGAATGCCAAGAGCTACACTATAAATAGCACGTCTGGATATACCTAACCATGTCTTAACTTCACAATGCCTTAAAAGCTACTGAACGTTCTTAAGCAACACAGTCTAACATACAGAGCACAACCGTTAATAATTCATTGCCAAAACAAAGGTATATGGAGAGAGGCTCCACATGACGTGTTCTTAGTTTGGTCCTATTCCATCTCTCAGTCTCTCTCCCAGAAGCTGGAACAAGAGAGATGCTTCTTTCGTTCAGAGACGACATGAAGCTGGGAAGGGCCATCAGTATGCCACATGTTGGAAATCAAAATGGCCATGGCCAACAGGAAAAAAGGTTCTGAACAAAATTAGGATGTAATTTGACAAAGGACAACTGCACAAAAACAGAGAGGAAGGCTGTGTAGACTGCAATCTACTGGAAAGGATCTGATGGTCAACACAGATCAACAAATTGAACATGAATCAGCATGTTGTCAATAAAAAGGTAGACACCACACAAGGGGTAATCACCTTCTCAGCAACGTTCAGCCTAACTCAGAACACAATTTTGTTACAGCAGGCTTCAGGATCAGCCAACCCCAAACAGCTATCGCTCCAAATGGGTTAATTATCATTGCGGCTGGTATCACTCAGCAGCCGGTAATGAACCATGAACATTTATCCTACTCAAATGTTTGTTTCCTTTGCATTGTTAACATTTAGAGTAATACTGAATGTAAGGTACAGTGATAGATATGCCAGTGATTTACTGGAGGAAAGAGAGTTCTGCTGCTCACTGAAGCACAGTGTTGTTCACACGGAGGAAGAGAAATAAGCATTATGTTAATTATGAAGAATTGCAAAACTGTGCTCTGAATAAAGAAGGAATAAAATGAGTTTTGGAGCGAGACCATAAATTTCTCCTGACATCCTAGAAGTCTTGAAAAGAAAGATCATGTATAAAAGCTACTACCCTCCCCCCAAGAGAAATATTCAAGTACGTCCCAAGGAATCTGAACCTAAGGGTTACTTCAAAAAGAGGGTGCCTGAATGTGAATTATTAGGCAATCCCAGTTAGGTTCTCTCTAGCAGAGACAGCTTGCCAGGGGAGAATTTCACAAAGCCCGAGACCTTGACTGCTATCATGGAACCATGTATTTATCTCAGAGTAAGTAGATTTATGCTTGTGTAAGTAGACTAAGTACAGATTTTCTTTCATTTCTTCACCCATGTTTTACAAATGTGTGATTATGTTATTATATTTAGATATTACAAATAAATGCTTTTATTTCTAGTTTACCTTAATCTGTCTTAACCTATGGCCCAGCTACCCAGCACAGACTCTGCAGTGTCCCCAGGTAAGGAAGGTGCTTCCTCTCCCATCGCACAGATCAGATTCTGGCACTGCAGGAATCGGACACGACCCAAGCGTACCTAGTGACTCGCAACAACTGAAGAGGCTCTCTGACATGCAACGGGATATCACCCCTTGCAACTGTTGGGGTCTAGGTCACAAGCAGGCCTCCTGCTGACTGCTTCCTACACAGGAGGTATCCTTGCTTACTCCCCACTCACGGGGAGCAGACCACGGGCTCTGAAACCTTTGCATTATTTCAAAGGCAGGTGTGCGTGCAGAAACAAGCAAGGTACGTATTAAAATTATCGGAATGTGGGCATCTAAAACCTCTGGAACTTGCACTATTCAAGAAATCAGACACTTTGTTCAGAATTCTTGAAATAATATTTGAGATCTAAATGCAAACACATTGTATTAAATAAGTTGTACTGGTTTTGATATTTTGGCTTCTGCTGTGTTTACATTCCTGTTCAATACAGAAAGACTTCAATCTTATTGCACAGATCCAGGCGGTACTTCAAGCCACCTGATAAATGAGTTAGTGGAAACAGATTGAAGTGCTAATGTCCTTTTTACTGTTCTTTACTAGAAATATAAAAATAGGAAAACAATACTAAACAAATAGTTGCTTTAGTTTCTGAACCTTAAAAAGAACCCTCTGTTCTTTCTCTTCTGTTTTTGCATTTGTCCAGGGACTAGACAGGGAAGATGTCAATTACTGTCAGAAGAGAATTAAAACCTCAGTGTGCCTTCTGCTCACTGCAAAATCCCAAAGATAAATACAAAGTAATCTTCAGAAACAAGTGATTTGTAACAAGTCTGTCCGGGGAAATAGAAAGAACTGAATATAATCTCACAGTAAAATTCTGCTGCTGAGAACTCCATTCAAGAAAAGCATTTGTGAATGCTAGGTAAGTGACTAAGTAGATATGACTTTTATCTCAATAACATGTCACAGTAACTGAATGTGTGTTAAGGTAATTAAATCTTCTCAGTGATAAAGAATTGAAACTTGAAAAGCAAAACTGTAAGTTACACTTCTGTAAGACTTAAGAGTGGTAAGTGAAGCTTCCTTTATTGTAGAGCAGGTAGTGGTTCTTGCAGTATCTCCCATTCTAAGAATAAGCAGTTTAAATTATGATACTTTAAGATGTATTTTGGATCACTAGATAACATTTAGATCACAGAGGTTTTCCAGTGCCAACTTCTGAAGCTACTACATTAATAAAGGTTATTTTTTCTCTTACATGAATAACATTAATAATGTAGTATGACCTTTCCTCTAAATATTAGAATTTTCCATTCTCTCCCTATGTCAGAGTTTATTTCATCTATTCAATATAGGATCTGTTTGAAAAATAAAAAGGATACACTTGGCAACATTCAGGATAAACACTATGATGAATCACACATTCCAGTAAGGTGTATATTTCTCCTACAAAAATATTTAAATTCATACGCACATGTTTGCTTGTCTGTGTGAGACAACATTTTTGTTGAACTTCTATGAGGTCTTGGGCTATAAATTAGTTGTGTACTGACTGAGTCTGGAGGGAATGTCTTCTAAATTTTAAATACATCCAAACCTCTTTAAATCTGTTATCTAGTTTCCAAGAGTTTAAAGAAAAAACAATAAAACCAAACCACTATTTAAGTGTGACCTACACAAAACCATTGCTTTCTCTTCTATCACTGCAGAAACAAAAGCAGAAAATTATGCTAAAATCATACTCCATCACCTGCAAACACTGGAGCCACTGTTTAATCAATATTCTCTTATCTTTGCTCTCCAACAGATAAAGGCTTGAACATGTTAGGCAGTGTATGTTTTTCATAATGTAGACTTCAAAGCTTGCTGAAATCAAATGTTTCCGTTATGAGAGCTCCAGTAGACTTGGACACATCCAAGAAAAACATTTATATGGCATTGTACTCAACCATCTTCCTCGCCTCTTCTCTTTCCCCTTCTCTCAGGGCCCCGTTTCTTTTTGAAATAATGCCACCACTGGGCTGAAAGCAAGTTGAAGTTAAACACAGAGAGGCTAATTAGATAACTCGATGAACTTCTGAATCGTTATCTAGAAAGGACTTTCCTTTTGAGGATATGCTATATGCTGAGAGTATGCTATACTGATATAGCATTATTCATATTATTCTGCCAGGCTACATGCACAAGTATCTTTTAACAGGGACACTGTTAGATGCATTATCTGTGTATACAGAGATGATCATTACGCTAATTTATTGCGACCCACCAGACAACACCTGTAGCACTGAAGATAACTTGGCTTAAACAGACAAATTCCAGTCCTGTGAACAGCTCTTTCTCTTGCAAAACAAAGCATAATTTTAAGGCAAAAATGGTCAAGACTGAAGCTGGAACAGGCAGGTATAATTTGCTAAACTAGTAACTACCCACCTCTACCCTCTTAGTTTCAGCTGTACCAAAGAGGTCCAAATTCTTTACTGTGGGAGTGCAGAGAGGGTTACTCCCATAAATAACCTGACAGATGAGATCAGATTTTCATGCAAAACACAGAAATTGAAGGCTAAGAGGGAGATCTGGCTAAACTTATGCATCATTCAGGAGTCAGCCCATGCTCCTTATGTCCCCTCAATTTTTCCTCCTCCCTGGATTACATCACCTGGAACTATGGCTGCAGAGCAGCATGTTCTGAGACCATACGGACAGAACTCACTGACCCCCCATGGGATTCACGGCACCATCATCCTTCCAGCTTCTGCCAACAGAGCCGGAAAAATGACCAAGCTCTAAAAGTACACTGAGTTAACATGGGGAAAAAAAAGCATAAATGAAAAAGCACATTATTCCTGTATAACAGAGACAACTTCTATTTGTGTCATATACCTAAGTTATCTACACGTGCCCCTAGAAACAACATTAGTCTTTGGTCTACTTTTTAATATTATGGTGCAAAAATTTAACAACCAGATTTTCTCTGGCTGTTAACAGAAACCAAATACTATTCCTCTGGCATTTTGCTTAAAAAAAATAATAAATTAAAAAATTGTATGCAATTTCAAAGAGATACATCTCTGAGATTAATGGCCTGTCCAAAGAACCTCAAAGAAATATTGCTGCCCTGAAATGCAAAACAAACCAAAGATCAGAACCTGAGGTCAGAAAAGGCTGTACTTACTCCTTATTCCTGCTTTTAATGCACGGCTGGTAAAGGACTTTGACAGCATTCCAGGTCCTCACTGGTCCAGAGCTAGGCATGAAAATATCTCCAAACAGTGTAAAAACACTGTGGGAGGAGGAACTTCCTAAAGACTCCACCAGCAATGTGTCAGAATTTAAAAGCCATATCTATAAATGAAGAAACAATTTATTTTACTGTAGATGATATCAATTTCAATTTGTTCCTTTATTCTGATCCTAAATCAGCTGATACTAAAGCCACATTCTTACAAAGTTTCTAACAAAGTGTTAACAGACATAAATTGTCATTTTATTATTCAGCACTGTCTGCACAGCCTCTAGTGGAGAAAAATAGGTTAATACAATAAACCGATGCCTGATTTATCACAGTCACTCTTAAGATCATTATTTCTGTGAAGCTGCCTCTTTTTGTGGCTGCAGCACATTGCCTTTGATTGTAACAAAAGGAACAGTCCCAAGTCGTCTGTTTCAGTACCAAATGGATTATGTCTCTAATTTCACAGTTTTTTAGGAATTAGTAGAGTATATGGTGTTAAACAACTGAGGGCTAAAGACAGGGAACTTCCCTGTCTAAAGACAGACTTCCCACCAGAAGTGCCAAAAATTAAGGATTTTTAGAAAAAGCATGATACTTATGAGTGGATGGAGCTAAGACATCCAAGGAAAAAGACAACAATTAATGTGGTTTAAAAGGAAGGCTGGGATTTACAAATGGCTGTAACAGACCCTTACTTGGAAAACAGATCTTTATCAAATTTGAAAATAGGACTGGCATTCTTCAGCACTACTTGCTCACAGCAATTCATGGGATATTTACCGGGGAGAGTTTTGAGAAATCTTAACTTTTTGCACCACATTATGGATCTTATTTAACCTTTGTGTGATTGTGCATTAATACTACAACTTGGATTCAGGGCTTTCACGCTAAACACTGTACAAAAAAGTCAAGCTTTTCCTTTATTCACAGCCTGCAGTAGCGAAGTGATCCGAGTTACCAATGGAAATCAATTTTTACAAGTCCTGAGCCTGTATGAAATGTTTATATATGAAAATTTATCATAGAAAACAGGATTTATGCAGTGCTGCTCACTAGAGAGTAATCTTCTGCTTCTCATGACCTAATCAGCTTCAAGTAAAACAAGTTACATGATGTCAGGTAGCAGACATATGACATCCCCTGTGGAGGGAGAAAGCCACCGTTAACAGGACACATAGTATATGTCATAACTGAATGTGACAGTCACAATTTATCTGAGCCCAAGCCTCAGAACATTACAGTGGAAGCTTCATAAAGGAGGAATGAGATATATTGATAAAGATGTCTTGGGAGGGGATGGGAGGAGGAGAATCGCTTTAGCATATGCACATAAATGATGACAAGCAACTGCACTTGGCTTAGCAAGTGGCTGTTCATCAGTTTTGCTCTGGTAACTCACTGTACACATTCATAGCCTAAACTGCAAAATATACCTCATTAGCTCGGACCATTACACACGGTGCTTTAAGCCAAGCGTTGAAGAGGTGTTGGAGAAAATGGGGAAAAAAGAGAAGTGTCCTATATACACAGGCCACTGCCAACACACTTAGCTTTAACTAAGAGTTCCTTCCTTCTGAAATTATTAACACTTCCCTGTGAAGGAGCCTCCTGGGATTCTTTTCAGACGTGGAATATCCTTCAAATTAGTCTAGGGAACAATGCAGCAATAGCTGTCTCCTCCTTTCAGAATCCTTCTGCAACTTGCAGAAATAAATACATAAAAAAAAAAAAATATATAAAGTTTAGAATTCATTCATAGTGCAGATTGATGACCTTTTCTGAAGCAACAGCATCAGAGGAAAGTGTTTGGGTTTTTGTTGGTGTTTTTTTCATTGTGTTTTGTTTTGTTTTTAAATCACCTTGTCAATAGGCTTCAAAGACGTTCTTAGGAGAAAAGCTGCAACAAATCTCAGTTACACTTCGTGGGACTTGATCCAAACAGATGAAATACTACGATTTACATTCTGTGACCAGTTTCCTAAAATCTCAACCTGTGTCTCCAGCATCAATTTGTGAACAGTTAGGCATCAATACAAATTTAACGTAGCTAAAAAAAAGCTGTGGTTCTTCCTTGCTAGTTCTTTCTTCGTTATTGTAGACATTACCATTACTTTTTTCATCACACAGGTCAGTAATGCAAACATCTTTCATTACAGCTTCTTTGTCCTCACATTCAGACTGTTCAGGTAAAGATGTGGTTTCCTCATACTTCACAAAGAATAAAGCTCTCTAAGAGAGCTGGGTAGCTCAGTCTCAACAAGGTACTCGTTATCTCACATCTTGATCACTGCAACGTCACCTTCTCCAGCCTTGACAAATGCAAACTTGTTCTGCTCATGCCCTCCAAGACATGATCCAAGAATCAGTATCTAATTGACAGGTCTCTCCCATTTTGTTACATACTGATTTTCTTGGATATCTTCCCACTCCCTCTCCACTCACTCCTGAAATACAAGCTGCCTTACTTTCAAAGCACTTTACAGCTTAAACCTTCATTCAGTATTGAAAGAATGGAGTTAGTATTCAAACACTCCAAACTCTACCACATACCTTTTCATTTTCACAGATGTATCTTTTTGGGTTTTATCAGGTTGATCCCATCCATGGGATGAATTCCCTTTATCTATCCACAAAACTACTTGTTTACCTCTTTCAAACCTATCCTTTTTTATAGTACAGAAAAAAATGACATCTGTTAAGATGCTGCTATGCTGACAAATAATGTACCGTTTTGCTTGTGTTCTCCTATCTCACTATCCATTTGCTGTCCTCATCTTATTCTTAGCTTAGTCATGCAACTTCAAGGCAAGGAACCCTTCAACAGTGGAGCAAAGAGAGGAGGCAAGTGATTCATCTTTTAGAGGATGTGAAGAGGGCAGAGATATAGTTAGGATAAATAAGGAAATCTGTATATGCCACTTTTTTTTTTCTGAGACAGAGAGACTTTTATTTATGGTCATCCTTTAAAAAAAAACACCACTTAAGTAGTATATAGCTTTCAGGAACTTGGTTATCACCAACTTAAACAACAGAAACTCCTATTATGATATCCACAAATAACATAACTGGTAATGTTAAGTGATACATGCAGAGGAAATAAGGAAAATGAGTGTATATAATATTTGTGGTTTAAAAAAAAAATTAAAAAGACTTGTCAGAGACCTTAACCTTAATTATCACATACACAGCCTAAGCTGTGTGCATTCACGTATGTAAGCACAAACACTGTGAATGAGAATCTTTGGCTCATTGTCAAAATAAACAAGTGGGACAGCTGGTCCATGATACATCAGTGGTGGGACCACTTGTCTAACTTGGCTGTGTACTCACAGCCTCAAGCACCTACATTTTTTACTGTTTAGGTGTTTGCAATCATTAATATAAACAGCGCTTATATTACGCTTGTGTCCACAAGGCCTCTGAGTCCTAAGACTTAACCCATGACTCCAGAACACCTGTTGGTGTGTATACACTACCTAGAACCTCACCCTGGACATGAGTAAGAGCTTTCTGATGTTAAACACAAAAAAATACTAATAACTCACTAATAAAAAAGAAGGGATGCCAATCAGAAGCCAGCCCCTATGCTAATTCAGCCTGCTCCTCTAATCAATACATTGGCAAAAATGCAACTCAACGCTAAGAGTAATGACAATCTGCTAAATAAGGCGGTTTTTCTGTTAGAAAATAAGCAGTTCATTCTATATAAGCTACTAGACTTAAGCATCAGAATATTAGGTAACTTGGAAACACATAAGCGACACAGAAAAAAATCACAACAATTTTTAAAGACTCCTCAATTAGATTTTACATAGTGACAATTATGGGTCTGCTCATGAGACCTTATTTTATCATCACAGAAGAAGTATTTCTCAGTGGTTGCATAAATGTTATCTTGGCACTAAAATTTATTTAAAAGCAACAGATATACCTCAGAATCTGGATGTTTGGAAATTATAGAACTTGGACAACGTATATATAAAACTGTTTATTTAATTAGATTGCCTACCTCAACAAAGTGCATCTATAAGTTTATCCAGGACAGGAATCTACAATCACATATTTCTTTATCTTTGTGTATATGAATTACTCGTACTAACCGCAAAATTATGAATTCTGTGCCTATATTTAGTTCACGAATAAAAGAAAACATCTGTGGTTATACCAAGTGTACAGCATTAAGATAATTCCAGACCCAAATTCCTATCCATCTTAAAAGTTTGAGGAATTTAGCTGTCACTATTTAAATATCAAGCTTAACCAAGTTTAACAGCATTAGAACATTAAGTATAATAGGCAATTTTATTTTTGTTTGCACTTCACTTTGCAATGCAATGTACTGACAACATTAGTAGTCTCTGCTGACTTAAGACAATATTTGTGAAAGATGCTATACAATTTGATGAAATTCTGGTGGAAGCACTGGAGCAAGAAGATGAGATATATATTATAAAGTCAAAACTTAAGCTTTCCATATTTTCTGAATACAAAACACAGGGTTATTTCTGGGCTACCTGTGGTGCATCTGTAGTACTTTCATTACTATATTCATAGAGAAAATTTCTCTAGAGAAAAGATTAAAAAAATGGGGGGAAATTTCTTACTTGAACAGAACTCTTCAGAACTACTCCAAGAATTTGCATTTGTTAATTTTCTTTAAACATACAATAATGAACAGCATAAATAATACATTTTAGGAGCTGGGATTCATAGGTTAAA